GACCTATTTTTCTTGGTATGGGTACAAAGTAAAAAGTTATTAGTATTTTCTGGAAAACTGCCGCTGTTGATATGGGCCGCCGTTGTTATGGGTCGCCGTTGTTTGCACACGGTGATCACACTTATACCTAAGTCATGTACATTTCAACTCATCTTTATGAATATGCGTATGAATATTCGACAGTTGTATTATGCTATCAAATAGGGCTCCGACTAAAAGTAGCACATATCGACAGGCCAATTTAGCCATTGAATAATGCTCCCACTGTAGAATCACCATTATTTACTTGTTTGTATGAATATGGGTCGAGGTAGCTTATCTGGACAGTCCTACTATCTTCTCCCAAATACTGCATCCACTAGAGATAGCATAACTGACCTTTGTGATCCTGGGACAATTCTATGCAACTGAGTTTTATTTATTCAGCAGCTTTCTAAACAAATTTACAATGTTTTTTACACATGGAAGCAAAATAAAATAGATGGAATGAAAATGATGACCAGAAAATCAAATATTAAATCCAAACTATTCAATCATCTAACATAGGTATTCTGCTGCAAATCTTCTGCCTCGGGTAGCTCAAATCGATGGACATTTAAACTGTAACAGCGCTTGGAGGTTGACAGGACAGTTTAGTTTGTAGGTGTCGAAATTCATCAGTGTTTTAGATCATTTTGAAAAAAAAAAAAAATGGCACCCAGCCAAAGATTCTACATCAGAATATTTACAGAGATGTACATTTTATATTGAAAGAGATCATGTTATGAGGTTTTGGTTGAGTTTTACTTGAGTTTTAGGGATGAATGGGATTACTGAGGTGCACTGCACACTGGCAGATGCACTGTGGACTTGTGCAAGAGAAGCCAGACAGACCTCTGTGTTTAGAGTCTTGTACAAAAACTGTAGGCCTGTATTTATACCTAAAACCTTGCTGGTAAGTCTGTAATTCAGGACATGAGCCAAGGAAAAAGTAGTTATAGGCTAAAATATTGCACTGACCAGCAGTTCTGGTCTTTCCCTGTTTTTACAATTCTGTAGAATGACTTGTGTGTAAAAATTTGTCTGGCTCCTTGTGCCATCGACACAACATCAGGAAAACCTTTGTATGGAACAACTTGTTAATGTTGTAAAATGTTGCAGTGACTCTGGATCCGCGGGACACTCCGGGGGACCCTCCTGCTGCCGGCTCCTCGCCAGGCGAGGACGACGCAGGTGAGGTGCAGGTAAGTATGCCTTTTGTGCTTGCTCGTTTCTCCCCTCCTCGGCGAGAGGACGTGCTTGGACGAGAGGAAGAGGAGGAGGATCAAGAAGAGGAAGAGGAAGAGGAGGAGGAGGAAGAGGAAGAGGACTGGAGTGAAGAAGAGGAGGAGGACTTGGATGACGTTGACTCTGGCTACTCAAGTCTCTCAGAGGAAGACAGCGATGAAGATGAAGATGTTGACGTGGAGGGGGAAGATGACGACCAGGTTTTCCCTCCGGAGGAGTTCTGGGCCGACTGGCGCCAGGCGGCCCGTCCTGCTCAAGCTCGGAATGTGAGAGATCGTCCTCCGACCCCCTTTGCTTGGCAGCGAGCAGAGAGCCCTTCTCCTGCACCCAGTCCCGGTGTTGAAGAGGAGCATCGCCCGTCTTCTCCCGCTGCTGTGCTTCCTGCACCCTCCTGCCATCCTGCTCCTGGCCCTCCCCCTGTGGGCCTTGCTCTGGACGTCCTGCCTCTCGGTGGATTCAAGCGCCACAGAGATGAAGATGCGGATGAAGAGGGAGACCCCAGCTCCAAGAGGCCGCGTCCTTCCTCCAGTTCCCCAGAGCCCGTCCCCTCCACATCTTCTGGGACGTCTGCAGGTTTCTTGTGGTACTTCCGCCCTCTGCCCCCATACCCTGACTCGGACGATGACTGAATTCCGTCTGTGAGACTCTGGGCTTTGTAACATCATTTCGGCAACATTTACCACCTTTAACACCGCCGATTTCATCTCTTGTACATAATTTTTCAATTTATTATCTCAGCTGTGTGTTAAGTAGTAGTAGTAGTAGTAGCTTTGTGTGCCAAAATAATTTTTCATCTTTTGTGTGTTTCAAAAAAAAAAAAAAAAGAGAGAAAGCAAGGAATAGTATGTAGGATTTCTAAAATCTTGAAAAGTCTTATAAGCAAAAAAAAAAAAGAAGTTAAACATGATCAGTAAGTAAATAGTAATAGATAAACATAATTTAAGCTACAATGTCACAGATGTCCTGCATATTACGCCTCGCATTCTACTCTGGGCATAGGTGGGTTAGAGGTGAGAAGGTAGTGGGGTCGCTGGTGCGATTCCCGCTCGTTTGCTGTGTTTGTTTGCCGTGTTTGTTTGTGTGTTGAAAGGGAAGGAAAACTATGTAGGAACGTAACAGAACAAAAACATGAACAAATTCTCTAAATGTGCTCAATGACTAAATTCTAATTGAGAAAAAAGTCAATCTGATGCTTATTTGTAGTTTCCTGTATAGTACACCTTGCCTTGAATTTACTTTGAGCTGGTTCCACTCTGGTCATAGGAGGGTTAAACTAACTCATTAATATTATTTTTAAAATACCTAAAAAAAAAAAAAAAAAAATTATAAAATAAAATAAAAAACTTAAAATCTATTTAAATATACTTACAATGAAATCCCTCACTGGAGGAAACATTTCCCTGTCTTCATTAGGAGATTTGTTTTTTGTCTGCTCATTCAACAGTTAGTTGGACACTCAGTTTCTCTTTTTTTGTGGTTTTATTTTTTTATTTTTCATAATTTGTAAGACGTGGAGACCTAGATTTGTTCACTAACTTGTCGGTTGGTGGGACACTCCCTAATTCTCCCGTTCGAGTTGTTGTTGTTGTTTTATGACTACATTGTACTACAAGTAGTACACAAATGAACAAATGTGTACTATATTGTAATGTTATACTCTTGTAAACAGATGTGGAGACTTGTGTTTGTCCATTCACTAGAGAATTAGTGGGACACTAAGTTTCTCTCTTTTCTCTCTCTTTTTTTTTTTTCCCAGTAATTGTAATTTAAGTTTAAAATGCAGAATTAGCACAACCATGGTATTTAGAATTAAACTGTTTACAATGCATGTGTATCTACGTGGCATTATGTCTTTCTGTAAACTGTACTTTTACTTTTACTTTATAATAATTTGTAAAATGTGGAGATCTGGGTTTGTTCACTAAGTTTTCGGTTGGTGGGACACTCCTTAATTCTCCCATTTAATTTGTTGTTTTCCGAATACCTTGTACTACAAATAGTATACAAATGTGTACTATATTGTAACGTTATACTCCTGTAAACAGTCTCTGTGGAGACTGTACTTTTACTTTATACTGATTTGTAAGATGTGGAGACTTGGGTTTGTTCACTAACTTGTCGGTTGGTGGGACACTCCCTACTTCTCCTGTTTAAGGTGAATTTTAACTGTGTGTTTACAAGATAAAACATTGTTCTTGCTTTTTTGCACAGCGCATTGGTACGCAAAAGCCTCTGTTTTTCAGGATGGTTGTTCATATTCAAATGAGGGCCTAAACCAAAGTGCATCGCTCTAATATTTGTGGATGAATTACACAGAAGGAGCGTAGATGCACACTTAAGGCTTTCTCCCTAGTTCCATTAAAAGGGCTTTGATTGGGGAGGTGGGCCTCTGTGTAAGTTGATATCTTATTACATATATGTCCAGAAGTATGTTCCAGTCAGATCCATCGTGTCCTGGTGAGTAAAGACCAATACTAACGTAATATTTGTATTAATTACTAAAGACCTTTGTTCACTTTTAAAAGAAAGGCGCGTCGCTGATGGAACTGTCCATGGCATCATCAACAAAGTGCAGTTAACCACCAGAGGGAGCCCTGATTGTAACGTTGGAACACAAGGTATTCCAAGAAATGAGAGAATTAATAATGAAATAATGATAAATAATGAGTTTTGTACTTTTATTGCACTTTTAGGAGCCACAGTCATCGCCATCTCTGCTGAGACGTATGCAGCTGCAGTGGCTTGTCTCGCTCCAGTCAGATGATCCACAGACTTCTGTAAGTTATTATCTGAAAATAATAAAAATCTGATAAAATAGAATGTAAAATTACACTCAACATGTGTTTTAGGATCCAGAAAGTTTCCTGGAGTGTGACCCATCAAATGCTCTCGGCCACATGAGAGGAAGGGGTGATCTGTGTAATCTGCCGTTACTCTGAAGTTCAGTCTAATCAAAACTGAAGCATCACTCCTGATGAAGATCTCCAGAGGAACAAGAAACTCCAACAGTGGTGAGAGAAAAGAACCTATACTAAATCTTTACAAGTTTTATAACAAGATTTTTACTGTCTGATCCCTGTGTTATATTGTAACTGTGCAGGTGCTGAGGAGCACATTGGACCTGTGGATTATGGAGGAACAAAAAGAGACAAATGGTTTTTGGAGGACTCAAAAACAAGTGATGAAGCTCATATAGAAGACTAAACGCCTGGAGAAAAAGGACAGTGATGATGAGACGGACTACAGGAACGATGTGTGACATCTGGCCTCATGGTGACAACCAAGCAGATTATTGTGGACTTCAACTAAAATGGGCAAAACAACCATAAAACTCTCTGTCTGCACTGAGGTAGTAGAGAGGGTGACCGTGACTGAGGACCTGTCCTGAAGCATTCACACTGCCTGAGCTGTGGGGAGGCCCAACAATGCCTTTACTACTTGAAGAAACTGAGGAGCGCCAACATCCCCAGTCCACTAATGAGGAACTTCTACAACTGTGCCATCTGAAGTGTTCTGACATCTGGAGTTTTTGTGTGGTTCTCCTGCTGCACTAAGGCTGACCTACACACTCTCCAGCGGGTGGTAAAAACAGTGGGGAAAGTCACTGGGGTGACTCTCCCACAGATCAGTAGCATCTATGTGTTCCAGTCAGATCCATCGTGTCCTGGTGAGTAAAGACTAATACTAACGTAATACTTGTATTAATTACTAAAGACTGTTGTTCACTTTTAAAAGAAAGGCGCGTCGCTGATGGAGCTGTCCTTGGTGTCGTCCACAACCACCACCAGAGGGAGCCCTGATCGTAACGTTAGAACACAAGGTATTCTGAGAAATGAGAAAATTAATAATGAAAAAATTGATAAATAATGACTTTTATTGCACTTTTAGGAGCCACAGTCATCGCCATCTCTGCTGAGACGTATGCAGCTGCAGCGGCTTGTCTCGCTCCAGTCAGATGATCCACAGACTTCTGTAAGTTATTATCTGAAAATAATTTAAATCTGGGTGATAAAGTAGAATGTAAAGTTACACTAAACGTGTGTTTTAGGATCCAGAAACTTTTCTGGAGTGTGACCCATCAGATGTTCTCGGCCACATGTGAGTAAGGGGTGATCGAGGCCTGGTCCAATAAGAGACTTGGCCCAACAGTGGTGAGAGAAAAGAACCTATACTAAATCTTTGCAAGTTTTGTAACAAGATTTTTACTGTCTGATCCCTGTGTTATATTGTAACTGTGCAGGTGCTGAGGAGCACACTGGACCTGTGGATTTAATGGAGGAACAAAAAGAGACAAATGTTTTTTAGAGGACTCAAAAACAAGTGATGAAGCTCATATAGAAGACTAAACGCCTGGAGAAAGGGTGACCGTGACTGAGGACCTGTCCTGGGGCATTCACACTGCCTGAGCTGTGGGGAGGCCCAACAACGCCTTTACTACTTGAGGAAACTGAGGAGCGCCAACATCTCCAGTCCACTAATGAGGAACTTCTACAACTGTGCCATCTGAAGTGTTCTGACATCTGGAGTTTTTGTGTGGTTCTCCTGCTGCACTAAGCTGACCTACACACTCTCCAGCGGGTGGTAAAAACAGTGGGGAAAGTCACTGTGACTCTCCCACAGATCAGTAGCATCTATATGACCCGTGGTCTGCGTCACCGGCACCAGCCTACTCATCACCTTTTCCACCTGCTGCCCTCAGTTAGAAAGCACAGGTCCATAAACACCAGAACAACCAGACTGACCAAACAGCCTGTATCCCCCGGCTGTGAGGCTGCTGAAACACTGCCCCCTTTCCCTCTCTGCCTTTCTCCCATGGACAATAACCACATCCACCAATAAAATATCAGTGACCTGGACTTTTGCATTGTTGCATTATTATATATGTGCTGCCCTGAATATCCTTACTGTGCTAATGTTTACACTGGAGTTAGTACTTAAGGGGTTATTGGGTGGGGTTTTACACCTGTAGTATTGTGCTTCACATCAAAACTAATGCAGTGTTTGATGCTCTAAACTATTGCTTCCTATGAAGATGACAATAAAATCTCTTGAATCTGAAATAAATAAAGATAATCTAAATTTATCTTTATTGTGTAGAGTATTAACAGTATATTTATAATATTAAATATTTAACACTACGTGACTGGTGGGAATCTGCTAAGGTTGCAACTAAAAGTTATTTTGGTGATCAATTCATCTTGTGACTATTCTTTCAATTAATCATTTAGTTGTTCATAAGGTGAACGCCCCGGTGGCGACTGTCCCGAGTCCCGGCAAAGAATGTCCCGGCCCCAGCAGCGGTAGTGACAGCCCCGGGTCCCGCGGCGGGGGTCTGTCAGTGTCTTTGACTCTGTTCTCTCGCCATTTCCTGTGTGGAGCTTTAGGCTAAAGTAGCAGCTGCCGCTAATCGTGAAGCAGCTACGAGTTGACGCAGCAGGTTGACGTGAGTGACAGGACAGTTGTCCAATCACACTACACTAAATAAACAGAGACTGTGATATCGTAAAGTTTGTGCCCTCAGCCCGAAGTGAAATGCGCCAATCAAAATCATTTTTAAATAGTAATAATAACGGCCTGTGCTGGGGGGTGGGGCACCAGTGGCCGCTAGGGGGGGCACGGCCCTCAAATGCCCCACCTTGCCGCCGACACCGGCCAGAACAAAGAGAATGTTTTGTGAACTTTATCAAGGGAAAAGACGTTATTGCCCTTTTTTTTAACGGGATTTGGGAAAAGCTTACATACATTACGACCAAATAGCAGTGATTGGTTAAATGAAAAAAAGTACCTGCCTACCATTGAGCGAACGAATTCTAATGCTGTGAGGTCAGACAGTTTGTACGAAGTGAAACTGGCTGATGAATCAGGCTAAAATATCATACCCATCATACATAATTTGCGCTGGGTATTTTATTTGGTATTAATAAAAACATTTTAAGCAGCCTAAACTTGCGGACGTGGGCTAATCTCGTGCACATTTTAGATGATTCCTTTCTGCTTCTCTGTGTTTGATAGATCTTAAGAAAGTAAACGTCCCCATCTTGCGGGATTTGCGGGCTGGAACAGGACAAAATATTGCAAATGTGGTCGAAAATTCTGTCCAGTGCAGATCTCTGTTTCAATGAATAGTGTAAAGAGCATGATCTTTAATAGAATTCAAATTAAAATCATCTCCACTGATGAAAAAAACAACAACTTTGAATCAATCAGCACAGTATAAGCTCATTAAAAACACACACATATAATTAGACTTTAATGTCAGTCTGCAAACCTGAAAGCCACATGAACAAAGCTGCTTCTTTTATTACACGACTTTAATTCACCATCAGTGAGAGGTCTATTCACAGTAGTAATCACAGTTTATCTGAAGTTTTACTCCAGTGAGTCTAAAAGGACAAAAGTTAGTTGAGGTCAAAGCCTGTTGTTCATTAAAATACATTAGAAAAGTTGATGTCTGTCTTGTAGCTGCTTCTTTATTCGCCTTTATGATTCAGGAGTTTGAGCTCGAGTCCAGACAGAGCCTCCAGCAGAAGAACAAGTGTTATAAAACTTTTAATTTTGACTGAAAATATCCACGTATAAACACTTCTTTAAAAGTCCACAGTGTAACTTTTCTGGAGGAGGATACACCATCTGTTTTGGCTTTTGCTGGGACATTCTGTAGTATTTCCCACATATCCATCTCCAGTGTTGGGGAGTAACAGATTACATGTACCGGCGTTATGTAATCAGAGTACAAATTATGAGTAACTGTATTCAGTTACAGTTACTGTTTCAATGAGTGGTAATTGGATTGCAGTTACTTTGCTGAAATAAATGGATTACACGGTGGTATTTTCCTGTTTTTACATTTTGTGCTACATCTCATTTATTTATTTTTTAAAATTTCAGTAATTCCACTCGTTGTCGGAAACCCACACAGAACGCGAGCAGTAAGAACGATGTAAACGTCATGTTCACGTTGGAGGCGTCAGTCACACAATGGACGAGGTCGAAGAGCCAGTAGAACAGAGGCAGCAGTGCACAGGTAAAAACACATTTGTGTCTTGGAAATTCTTCTCCCGACGTGAAATATAAAAGAAAATAACAAATATAAAATCGCCTACAACTTAAATGTCAAACCGGAGCTACTGGCACTGGTGAAAACAACCTGCATAGGCTCATGAAATCTGCACTACTGTCCTTTAGTGACCTGTGATATGAGGGAACACGCACACAAACACACACAAACACACACAAACATCCACCTTCATCATCGTCATCAACCTGAGAACACACGGACCACGTCTCCTTCCGTAGATACTGTGCGGACACCGACGTGCTCCCATGTGCCGCATGTGGACTGCGTTTTCTCACGTACGCTGCGTAAACCGAGCTTCCTCCTGTGTGCCTCTAAACCAGAACTAACACCAGGACTAAAACCAGGACTAACCCAGTCCAGGACTAAACCAGGACTAAACTAGGACTAAAGAAGGTCTAAACCAGGACTAAACTAGGACTAAAGAAGGTCTAAACCAGGACTAAACTAGGACTAAAGAAGGTCTAAACCAGGACTAAACCATGTCTAAAACCAGAACTAAAACCAGAACTAAAACCAGGTCTAAACCAGGTCTAAACCAGGACTAAAACCAGTGATCTCATATAGAAAGCATTTTTCTATCAATAATATTTTTAATACAGTTGAGGAAAGTCTGGGCTTTTTATTGTCTTTAAGCAGACAAAACATCGTATGTTAAGATTTCCTAGTCTTTGCTACTTTACAGCAAACAGTTACTTATTCGGGGAAACTTGGTCTCAACAAGTTTGAAGAGAACAAAAGAATTTTCAGGATGTGGTTGGCTACATTCATGTAGTTTTAAAAAGCATGACAATATCAAGTAATCCAAAGTATTCAGATTACATTACCCACTTTAAGTAATTTAAAGGATTATGTTACAAACTACATTTTGGGGTATGTAATCTGTAATCTGTAGTGGAATACATTTTAAAAGTAACCTTCCCAACACTGTTCATCTCCACGTGGAAAAGGAGGTAAATGGTCAGATTTTTATAACGTTTTTCCACCTCCAAAGCACTCAAAGCACTTTACAACAAGGAAACACTCATACATTCACAGTAGAGCATGGACACCCGACCAAAGTCCAGCGGGACCGGGCGGAACCCGACAGGTCAGACTCGGCCACATCAGAGCGTCAGCTGTTTTCTGTCTACAGTAAAACCACTCGCTTTGAGATGCTTTAATGTTCAAAAGATCAGAGCAGTGCACGTCTAGTTTAGATACAAGTCAAAACTGTGCTGTTATTTGTGAAACGTGGTGCAATACTTCAGATACATGATTTTTAAAGCATAAAGTCAATCTGTGCGCTGTGTGGATGTAAACAAACACTCGTGAACTACTTTGAAATTTTTACTTTTAAATAACGCCTCAAACTGGATTCACGGCACTTTTTTTTTTCATTATTTGCAGAGGGCAATTTCTGTGGATAATAAGGATGAAATTTTCTTTAATCTTTAAGAATTCACTTTAAATTTACCACTTTACAAGAGGTGAGTAATAAAGTCTTCTTATTATTTTTGCGATATCCGGAGTTTGTATCTTGCGTCTCTGTGTCCGTTAGAGGCCACACAAACAATATACTACATGTGTCATCAGGCCTATTAAAATAGTGTCATTTCAATTGTGGTGGGTTCGAACACAAATATCTTAATGCCTATTGGACTTGGGTCTGATTTGATCACTGCTCTGTTGGACATGGACCAGGCTCGGGCAGAAAAATTCAGCCCGATCCACACTCTAATCCACACACACATTCATAAACAAGTGGACACAGACACTGGGGGCGAGGTGGGTTAAGTGTCTTGTCCAAGGACACAGCAACAGCATTCATCTGTGGGAGATGGAATCTCCTGTGTTACACAGTCTGTTACACAGTGCATCTTTAAATGAGTATTAAAGTTCATTATTTTTCAATATTATTTTTATTATGGATCAGTATGAGATTTTTTATACTTTTGAAAGCCCTACTATGGAACTGTCTAGGCAACGTGCCTTTAAATGAGTATCTAAATGCAATATTAGTTTTAGCAGATTGGCATCTGATTTTTGGTACTTTTGACAACACTACTGTGGAACATTCTAGAAAAAGCAATTTCATCTCCATGGTGATGAACCTTCCACCCGAAAAGTTACAGAGTGCACCTTTAAATGAGTATTACAGCTCAATATTAGTTTTAGTATGGATTAGTGTCTGATTTTGAACACTTTAGACAACCCTAATGTGGAACATTCTAGAAAAAGCAACAACATCTCCATGATGACAGACCCTCCACCTGGAAAGTTACAC